AATAATGTCACAGGTAGTTGGTAGATCTGTGTAAAAAAGGCCTGCCGCCACAGCTGGAAAAAATCCTAGAGGAAACACTGCTATTGCATGTTAACCGTTTCCACCAACCCCGGCTCATTCTGAAAATGTACCCCTATATACATTTCTGGAGAGCGTCAAATATGTCCCAGGAGGTAGGTTTATTTGCAGTTTTTGTTTTCGCAAATCCAGAAGAGGCCGCTGTGTATGCTTTCTCAGATCTCAAATTTCTCTCGCGAGTGCCATACGCACCTGCTGTCCTCACGTTAATCCATGGCATGCTGTCCCTGGAGAGAGCCCTGAGCTCATAAGATCCTCGAGCCCAGGGCTCCCTCCCGTTTGCAAGGTGAGAGGGGAGTTTAAGCTCAGGTAGATCTGGAGAACTCCCCTGCTCTAGAAGCTAATAAACAGATAGAGATTGCTCTTAAGAGATAACTACTTACTAGGAGCATGTCTATAATGCCGACCTAGATTAGTCAAAATAATTTAAGTTGCATGTTTTTGGATTTTGGGAGAAAACCCAGGGGGAAACCCACGTGAGCATGGGGAGAACTTGTAAACTCTGCACAGAAACGTCAGCTGGCTTGGTAAGGACTAGAACCAGTTAAGTTCTTGCTATGAGGCAACAGTGCTAACCACTGGGCCACCGTGCCACCCACCTAGGAAAGAAGGAGGATTAGAGGTGGAAGAGGGGATTCTTCAAAACGAAGATGGCTGTAATATTGAATTCAGGGTATTTATAGTGGCTTAGTAATCATCTGATTGGTGTATCATAAGTTGAATAATGCGGGACCGGCCGCAAACAATCATAAGCACGTGATCCTCTCGAAATTAGTTTATAAATAAACTTCACTTATATATTTTATGTACAGCTGAAATCAAAATTGTTAGCCTTCTTGTATATTTTTGTCCCCAATTTCACATAAATGGAAAGAATATTTTATCTTTGCGATGATAACAGTATTTCAAGACACTAGAATTCAGCTTAAAGGTGACATTTAAAGGCTTAACTAGGTTATATAGGGTAAAGTTAAGGTAATTAAGCAAGTCATTGTATAACAGTGGTTTGATCTGGAGACAATCCAAAACAATTATTGCTTAAGGGGGCTAATAATATTGACCTTAAAATGCTTTTAAAATTCTAGCCGAAATAAAACAAATAGGGAAATAGGAAATAGTGTGAAAATTTCCTTTCTCTGATTAACATCACTTTGGAAATATTTGAAAAAGAAACAAAAAATACCTGGACGGTGAATAATTTATACTTCAACTGTATATAATTTCAGTTTAATGAAAATTAGATGGAAAATGCTTGAAATGTACCCGCAGTTCTTAAATGAATTGTTTACAAAATAACACACGATTAATGCACTGGAGCTTAAAACACATGTGGAACTCACCAGGATGAAAAAGGGTGCAAGTTTAAGTGTTAATGGTTAACACGGGCTGGTCCGATCGCTGGGTTTCTTGGCCTGTATTAACAGCTGTAAAGATAAGCAGTGTTCAGAGTTTGGAGTCCAGAGGCTGCCACAGAAGAGAAGGATGAAACCAGCAGGTGCTCAGTTACTTCAGCCGGAGCCCGAAAGAAGAGCAGAAGCTAAGAAAGATACCTGCTGAGCATATGAGGGTAAGAATGAGACTCAAATTAGCATTTAACATACAGTTCATAAGAGAGTCATAGAAAATAGCTGTGTTTACATAAATACTGAATACATATAAATATAGCATATATATTTAGATATTTAACATGCATTTTGATTTATTAAAAAACTTAAATTATGTTTCAGTAGGAATAATTTAAAATTGAAGTATTGAAAAGTGTTGCAATGGAACAATTAATAAATTGTTTATAACCATTAAAATATATTTGTTTTTTTATATTCTTGATTATAATTTTATCATAATAATTTTAAGTAATTATAATATAATTAATTTTAATATAATTAATATAATAATAGGTAATTAAAATATAATTAATTCATATTTTAAGCAAAACAAGGCATAACAATAATTTGCATTACTTTAACCTGCTATAAAATTACATCTGTATATGTAAAATAGATGTTTAACTTTTTACTGTGCAACATTTATAGTTAACAAAAGCAATTAATTCCTTAAAAAAAGAAAAAAAAAACATAAAACATTGATTTTATATGTATTTATTTTATCTTATTTACTGTAATACATTTATTTTATTTCAACAAGTGCCCAAGGCAGCATTTATTTTCATTTATGCTGGTTTGTTAATAAAATGAATAACTAAATAAATCTACAGGCATTTAAAACCCCATTTAAATATATACAAAACAAAATTACTCTGGAGATAATTTAACAAAATAACTTGATCTAACAAAAAAAATGATAACGGTCCAAAATTAATCAAATTTTTATAGTAAATAATAATCATATAGTAAATTAAATAGTTAATAATTAAAATAATAATAATAATTCAAGAGAAAAAAAAATGTATACCTTTTTGATAATTTTTTAGTTTGCAATAGTTTTTCCAATATTTTGCATGAATTTAAATGTATTTTCTTTATATTTCTAAAATTTTTGGAGACTAAAATAATATTTTTTCTAAATTTATTCATTAAATAAATCTGTTTTGTTCAAATGTGCCAAAATATATTACCTATATTCACTGAGAAATTGATAAATATATACTTTATTTATCCGAATATTCAATATTAAAAACGTGCAAATCTTAGCACCTGACCATGCTGTGAATAAGTGGATTCTAAAGCATTTATTTTGCAATGACGTGACGAAAACACACTTCCCGTCAACACGTTCACTGTTTGTGATGTTAGATCAGATCAGATCAGCTCTCACCTCGCCTGCAACAGTTGTCCAGACAGGAGAGCGCATCAGGCAGAACGGCTGACAGCGCATTAGCGCAGCTCTCACAGCGTTAGACAGGCACATGAGCCAAATCCAATAGAGTCTGAGCTCCAGCAGACAGCCTAAAAGGTTTGTTGCAGCGCTGTGAAATGAACAGATCAACAGAAGCACTGTAATTATCCAGCAATTAACGAGCCAGGTCTCAGCAACACGATACAGATGCTCAGAGTACACAAACAGCGAAAGGGGGATCGCAGGAGATGAAGGTGTAAAGACAGAATTACAGACAAGAGTACAAGAACTGAGAGAGTGTGTGTGTGTCAGGTTAGACTCGTGGAAATGCAAAGGATAGAGTTTGGAAACATGGAAAAATCCTAAAGGAGAACTCTTTAACACATCACTATTTATTCTATACAGTAATGATAATGTATTAAGAGCAAAGGGAGACCAAAAGCTGTCAGATGTGTCCTTTAAATCTCAACTTTGCATGTACTGTATTGAGCTCTAAAATTAACGTGGATATCATACCTCTTATCATTTGTGCTTGATGGGAAAATACGGATATGGCATACATGTACTGTATCTGAGCATTGCAAAGCTGTAGAAGAGAGTGCTTTATAATGCACCCTTCAATTTATTACATTGATTTCTAGGATCAGGGTTGTTAATGTTAACCAAAACTATTAGAAGGTATTTTAATTAATATAAAAAAATAAAAACTTGCATAAAATGACCAATATATATACAATTATTATTTTTTTTTATTTTAACAAATTTTTTTTTGGAAAGGAAACCCACACCAACACAAGGGAGAACATGCAAACTCCACACAGAAATGCCAACTGACCCAGCTGGAACGCGGACCAGCAACTTTCTTGCTGTGAGGCAACAGCGATACCCTCTGCGCCACTGCGCCGCCCTAACCTAATTGTAATAAAATAAAAAATAAAAAACAAATCAAATAAATAACATGGATAAATAAATAAAATAAAATGTAAAAAAATTATTACAACAAGCAAGACTGACACATTTAAAAATAATATTAAATTGTGATATTTTGAAATTGTAAATTAAAAAAATGTAAAAAAAAAAAAATTAAAACAACAAATGTATATAATAATAATAAAAAATCTTAATAAAAGTATTAAAATTAAAAAACTTAACCAAAAAATAAATAAAAATGTATGTAAATAAAAAACATTTAAAAAAATAATAATTTAAACTAAACTTATTTTTTTTACTAAAATTAAACTAAAACTTCAGTTAATATTGATTTATATATTATTAAAAAAAATTTAATGTGAATTGATTCTGGGGTGGAACGTTGGCTCAGTGGTTGGCACTGTTGCTTCACAGCAAGAAGGTCGCTGGTTTGAGTCCGAGCTGGGAAATTAGGCAAGCTAAATTGGCCGTAGTGTGTGAATGAGTGTGTGTGTGAATGAGAATGTATGGGTGTTTCCCAGAACTGTTGCGGCTGGAAGGGCATCCGCAGCGTAAAACATATGGTGGAACAGTTATAATAAAGAATAAAGGGACTAAGCCAAAGGAAAATGAATGAATGAATGAATGAATGAATGAATGAATGAATGAATGAATGAATGAAGGAATGAATGAATGAAGGAATGAATGAATGAATGAATGAATGAAGGAATGAATGAATGAAGGAATGAATGGATGATTCTAACTAGTTCATCATTAAAGGAAAAAAGTCCTCAAACTAAAAAGACAAAAAGGCCAACTAAAGTAACTCCAGGGCTTTTCTGGGCTCTAGAGGTGCTTTTCTGTGTCTTTAGCGGGAGCAATCACTCCTCCGACACATTAATAATTAATCCCAGGGACTAGTTAATTATTTATGTTAATTGCTGATTTAAGTTTCCTTCCCCAAACACAGAAACACAGAGGGGTGGCAGAACAACAGGAGTTAAGGTCAAACAATCAGACACTTTACTCAATCTGTTTAACCCTGCTTTGTTAGCTGCCATTGACTGTGTCACAAGGGACATCGACGGATACCGATGCAGAAGCGTTAAAGATGCACATTCTGCTTTATCCCGTTTATAATTAATGGAATTAGTCAAATCTGACTTTTTTGTCTTGTTTTTGCAGCGAACAGAGAAGCTGAAAGGAGAAAGGTCTGACCTCTTGCTCTCAGTAACAAGGATTCATCCTGTTGTGGTACTCAAATCCAACAGGGAATCTCTGTTACTGGGGTTAAGGTTCAGAAATTCGCTTTGCGGGGGGCTGAAGATGCCGGAGACACCTTGAAATCAAGGCTAATGACATAGAAAAATGCTGAATAAACATTGTTAACATGCATTGACTTCCTATTAATCGACCTGTCCATTGAGAGTCCAAAGCTCAAATTGGCTTTCGCATATAATTAGCAGTAATCTATTTGTTTTTAAGACAATGTGCAAAGCTTCTGTCTATATAGTAAGACATGCACAACAATATCAAAGACAAAACAGTTTTTTAATATTTCATCCAATGCTTGGAAATGTTGAGATTCTCATAAAAACAAAACCCAAATGACACACATTTAAGTTATATTATTATGATATATATATATATATATATATATATATATATATATATTTGCATCTACAGATTAGTATTTAGATTTATATATCAAAAAACATAAAACTTTTACATTATAACATTTTAAATATAGATCAAGTAAACAATACATGTGTGTAAAAGCCATAGGACAAAGTCAAAGTCAGCTTTATTGTCAATTCAGCCACATGCACAGGACACAGAGAATCAAAATTGTGTTACTCTCAGAGCCTAGGTACATAACAAATAATATTATAAATACAATTACACATATAATCTAAAAAATATAAGTAAAAATAAAAATTCATTAATTTTTCATTTATTCATTCATTTATTTTCTTGTCGGATTAGTCCCTTTATTAATCCAGGGTCGCCACAGCGGAATGAACCGCCAACTCATCCAGCAAGTTTTTACGCAGCGGATGCCCTTCCAGCCGCAACCCATTTCTGGGAAACATCCACACACACATTCACACACACACACACACACTACAGACAATTTAGCCTACCCAATTCACCTGTACCGCATGTCTTTGGACTGTGGAGGAAACCGGAGCACCCGGAGGAAACCCACGCAAACGCAGGGAGAACATGCAAACTCCACACAGAAACGCCAACAGAGCCGAGGCTCGAACCAGCGACCTTCTTGCTGTGAGGCGACAGCACTACCTACTGCACCACTGCTTGACCCAATAAAAATTATATACAATACAATAAAAAAAAATTATATTAAATATTAATAATATTTAAAATGAAAAAAATATATATATATTTGCATCTACAGATTAGAAATTTTATTTATATATTAAAACATTTACGTTCCTCAAAATCTGTGTTTTTTTACATAAAGTTGAAGACAGAATTATTAAACCTTTTGTTAAATTTGTATTTTATCTAATATTTTATCTAATATTTTATCTAATATATTGCTGTTACTGCAGAAAACATTTATTATTATTATTATTAATTATTTTAATTATTAATTAATTATTTTATCATTAAACATGATTTATTGACTCATTTATTTGTCTTTGCCATGATGACAGTAAATTATATTTTTATATTTTTAATAATTAATTTATTAATATTATTATTATTATTATTATTATTAATATAAGGAAATAAGAGTAAATTATACTAGGGAATAATGTAAAAAAATCCTTGCTGTGTTAAACATCACTTAGGAAATATTTTAAAAAGTATTCAAATATTACATGAGCATATTATTTTATTATCAAACAATAAATATTTACTCTTACTTATTATTTACAAATATTCAGATTAAATGCATCACATTTTACTGTTTTGTTCCTATCTACACATACTCCTGTCTTTTTATCATACTTACAAGCTTTTTGCACTATATACTGTTTGCATCTGCACAACTCTGGTTTGCACTTTTCGCCATGTGCCCTTATATGTAATTGTATTGTATATAATTTTTATTTTTACTTATCTTTTTTGTAATTGTATTAATAATATTTTTTGTTATGCACCTAGGGTCTGAGCGTATTTCAATTCTGTGTATCCTGTACATGTGGCTGAATTAACAATAAAGCTGACTTTACATTTTCTGTTACAGACTCATTTCTCTATATATTATCTCTTATACATGATATTATTATCTATTATGAAAATGCCAATAAAAGTCACTTTGTTAAACTGTAGAGTTAAATTTTCAACATCAATAAAGTGGACCGAGCAGAGATCAACATCCCATAATGTAACTCACATCTGTAATTACAAAATATAGAAACAGTTAATTAGCAGATACGTTTACAGTATACATATATGGTGTTTTGACTTTTGCTCGATTTAATTGTGTGGGAAAATCATTGGGAAAATGTATTTGTTTACCAGGTTTCCACTGCATTGTCTTTTCAGATCCCTATTTAAAGCATCCCATTTGCCCCTTCCTTAGTTTCACCCCGCTAAATACTGGACAGGATCGGCCCAGGAGAGGCTGAGAGATGGGGACCCGTGTTGTTTACCTGTCATGGCTGCTCGGCCTCTGCTCTTCATCATTTCTCCCTGGGGTCTTCCCATCTCCCCCGCTGGTCCCGTTCCACTTGCTACTTCTCAAACTAGCAAGGGGTCTCCAGAGGCTCTCAATTAACTAGCTAGTCAGCACACTAGATGCCAGAGCAGTGCTGCGGAAAGCAACAGAAGTAGGATATTAAACAGACTGCAAACATTGAACACTTCTCTCCCTCAAGGGTGATGGTAGTGGGAAATAATTATTCACAGTTCAGCTCCGTAAAGCATATGTAAATATGTTGGTGCTGTGAAACTATAGGGGCATGCTTGATTCTGATTGGCTGATGAATGTTCTAAACATTATTAAATGCAGAGTTAAAAGTAGTTCCGGCAAGTTTTGAGCGCATTTGAGCTTCATATCGCTAAGCTGAATGATTTGAGTTACTTCACAGCTACAGCAGTTTAAAATCACACCAAAACACAAGAGAGGAATTTGAGTGAGAGGTGTGAGAAACTAGAGCTACACACAGGAGCAGTTTGAGGACAAAACACCTGACAAATGTCTGAAATACAACATCTGAACAGTGGATGAATCTTTAATTGTGATTAACCTTTTGACATTGTTTTAACATGTTTGGGCTGGATGTGTGTTCATATACATATAACAACAAATGAAGTAAACATATTAATTAAAAGACATGACATTTAAGTCAAGTCGAACTATTGTCATTTCGCTACACATAAAGTGGAATGAAATGTCGTGTCTCGCAGGAATACGGTGCTACATAACTAAATATAATCATAAATATGAACATAACACTGGATGTAAGAGCTATTTTAAATACATTGTCACACACTATAGACACTTAAACAATGCGAAAAACCTAACGCCCCATTCACAGCGTCAACTCTTGACTGAAGGCGTGTCTGAAGTTGGGGCTGAAGCGATCGTCATAGAATCGTGAGCCAATGAAATTCAGTCAGCAATAGGCCACTGTCTAGCTGGCGTATTTGCATACAGCAATCTGATTGGCTGACGCTTCCATCGGCGCTTGAAATGTTGAGCAAGTCCCAACTTCTGCAGCGAGCAACGCCTCTGAAGCAGCGCCGACGGATCCACAATGCAGTTCGGCAACGCCTGACATCACCCATTCAAAGTGAATGGGAAGCGTTGACAGAAAAGACAGAAATAAATTTTGTGAGATATTGTGCAAAAGATGTATTTAAGGTTGAAAAAAACAGTAGTGCAACATAATTGTGTGGTACATTCACTGGTAAACATTGTTTTCTTTATTGAGTCCTTATAAGATGGAATTTAAGGGTGCTTTCACACCTACACTTTTGTTTCGGAACGTATCTCGTTTGCCCAGTTAGCGCGGTTTGATTGGCATATGTGAACAGGGCAATCGCGCTCTGTTCCGCGCCAAAGTAATCGCTCCGAGATCGCTTGAATGAGGTGGTCTCGGCTCGATTGAAACGAACCCTGGAGCGGTTCGATTGCAGTGAGAAAGCGATCCTATCCGAGCGCGGTTATACCACAGTGTTTTATGGATATGTAACAGGCTTACGGCTATATGAAGAGAGAATTATGAGTAGGGCGGGAAGTTTCACGAGTCTCCGGATGCCCGCAAACGAGTGATGATCTCCCGGTAATCTCGCGTCTCCCTCCCGGTCCTCAAATAGGCATCGTCGCGCACCCTTCTCCCCACCGTGTCTCTCCTCAGACACGTCACGCGCGCACACTCTGTCAATCACCACCAAACCACCACCTCTCCTGACAGCTGAGCGGGACTCTGCAAAATAAACCCTGACACTCTGACCAATGGGAGGAGAGTTTACTCACACGTGACTTGTTTTAGCTCTTTTGGTCCGTTTAGAAACTTTGCCATGTGAAAGCGAACGGCACCAAGAACAAAGAGCAACAATGTAACAGTTTTAATCTCTGTTTCGGAACAACTGAATCGATTCACAGGTGTGAAAGCACCCTAAGGCTGCTTTCATTCTCTCTTGATTGCAAATTAAAACTAAAACCATTTTAGTATAAAATTCATTCATTCATTCATTTTCGGCTTAGTCCCTTTATTAATCCGGAGTGGCCACAGCGGAATGAACCGCCAACTTATCCAGCACAGATGCCCTTCAAGCTGAAAACTATCCCTGGGAAATAATGTAAAATTCAATTCAGCATTTTAAAATTAACTATAAAAATATCTGAAATATGTAAATAAAAAAATATATAGTTAAAATGATTGATAATTAAAACTAAAATTATTTCCAATTTTGATTGCAAAATTTAATTCAGCATTTTAAAATTAAAAATAAAATATATGAAATATGTCAATTAAAAAGTAGTAAAAACTTAAAAATAAAATAGATTGTTAAATAAAACTAAAATTATTTCTAATTTTGATAAAAAAAAATTGTATTCAACATCTTAAGATAAGCAGCGATCAGAAATATGAAATATGTAAATAAAAATGTAGTAAAAATTTAAAAAATTAAAAATACATTTCCGATTTTGATTACAAAGTGCAATCCATAATTTTGAGATTAACAATAAAAATTTATGTAATATGTACAGGAAAATATAGTTAATAATTAAAAAATAAATAATTGTATGATAATTAATATTATTTCCAATTTAAATCAGCATTTTAAATTTTGCAATAAAATATTTAAAATAAAT